TCTTGCTCCTAGTAGCGATGCCGGGAGCCCCTTGTAGCGTCCTCTTGTTCCTAGTAGCGATGGCCTCCACTATAGAACTTGTGCTACCCGTTCGAGCCCAAAGTGCCTCTGGGAGGTCCGATTCGCACGCTGACACCCACGGTGCCGGGACACCCAGACACGTCCAGCCGCCACCCACGGTGCTGGGCCAAGGCCAAGAGTTGCAACGCAGCAATCCAATGACCAATGGCCGCCGCAACGGCCTTGACTTTAGACTGGACGCAAAAAAAAGAAGAACCTACATTAGAACCTGCTTCCTCCGTGTCACGTTATTCATCCATCTATATAGTTCCACTCTATATAGTTCCATCCTTTCCAGAAGCGAGGCCAAACACGGCAAAAAGAGAAGCCGTAAAAAGAACTGCAGCAAGGCTAGTAACAAGAAGCTACTAGGGGCTCCTGGCCTTACTATTAGGAGCAAGGACGCTACTAGGGGCTCCTGGCCATACTACTAGAAGCAAGTAGCTAGTAACAAGAAGCTACTAGCTACTTGCTTTTCAGGTCTCGTCGGGTACCCGAAGCCTAAGCCCGGCGGCCCTGTAAGGCCGCGGCGTTGTAGACAACGACGTTGGAGCCCGGGGCCTCCAGGACGTCCAAGGACCTGGACCAGGTCATCTTCAGCAACTTGCTCCTAGTAGTATGGCCAGGAGCTCCTAGTAGCTTCTTGTTACTAGTAGCAATGGCCTCCTAGCGATGGCCTCCAACCTAATAGCGATGGCCAGCATGGATGAGGCCAATTTTTGGCATCCACTGTCGCACTAATTCCTGAAAATTTGACTAGACAAACAATACTTCAGTGTTGAAGCCTTCCTGGGATCTTCTTCAGGTTTTGGGCTCTCCTTGATCCTCCTGCCCATCCGTGCCCACCGTGGCCTTTGCCACTCGATGACCACCCCGGCGCTCAGCACCCGAGGGTCCTCAGGTTGGGATCGCTGCTGGGAGTCCTTGCGAAAGCGATTGCGGAGAGCGGAGAGCGGACAAAATAGACATGATTATGAAATGATACCCTCCAGGAAGCTAGTAGGTTGGAGGTCATCGCTATTAGGTTGGAGGCCATCGCCATGTATGGGCACTCCGACTGGGCCCTGAAGGTCTGCACTGAAAGCTGTCAGGCCTACTTGGCTTCTAATAGCTTCTTGTTACTACTAGTAAGGCACTTGTTGCTAGTAGCGATGCACTTGTTCCTAGTAGCTTCTTGTTACTAGTAGAAAGGCCAGGAGCCCCTAGTAGCGTCCTTGCTCCTAGTAGCGATGCCCTTTGCTCCTAGTAGCGCTTTGTATCTCTTGGCATTGCAGCCAAAGCGTGTATGTGGAACCGAGGTGCAGCCACCAGTGCCTGCGGGTCTTATGCGATCTGTGTCTGTGGTTTCCAGAACTCTGCATTGCCTGCGTCATCCCTCCTCCATTCTTGCCTCATTGGTGTATCTCGGCCCCGGTAGAACCGGTTCTCATCTGTCCAAATTTGGCTTGGTGGAAGGTGTATTGGAGTATTTGGAGTTCACAAGCGGAAAAAGAGGATTGCATCCCTCACACAATGGGAGAAAGCCGACTGTGTCTCGTTCAAAAAACAACTCTCTGACAAAATCGTGTTGAACAGCTGAAAAGGCTTGGACTTCTTCGTCAGCCGCACTGCCAACACAAGCTCTCCTGCAACTCCACCAAGGCTTTTTGCCATGCCAGCGCACCTAGCAAGACCACTGAGTATCCCGCATCGGTCTCCTCGAGAAACAAAGAGACCAACTTGGAACCTTTAGGCTCAAGAAGCTATTAGGAGCAAGAGGACGCTACTAGGGGCTCCTGGCATCGCTACTAGGAGCAAAGGGCATCGCTACTAGGGGCTCCTGGCCTTACTACTAGGAACAAGAAGCTATTAGAAACCAATCCTTTTTCTCAACCACTTCGCGTGCCCCGCACGCCCTGTGCGCTCGCCGCGCCCCCCCGCTCCAAGCCCTCTGCCGCAGCGTTGCGCATCGCCAGCATTGCTTGCCAGCGCCCTGCGGCGGCGCCGGCCGCCTGTGTCGCCGCCGTCCAAGCCTTGAGGTCTGGCGGCGTCGCCGTCGTCGCCTCAGATCCGGAAGGACAACGAGCGAAGAGAATCCACCAGTGGCCCCTAGTAGCGTCCGATTGCTCCTAGCAGCGATGCCCTTTGTTCCTTTCGCCAACTTGCACAGAATGTGCTGAAGATTCGATGTCCAGGTCGCCATCCGCTGGATGTGCTGGAGCCCCAAGGACCACTGAGAGGCCTTCTCCAGGGCCTTGGAGCAAGCGGTGTGATCTTGTGAAGCTGCTGGTGGATGAGCACACTTGCAGCACGGATCTGCCACCAATCAACTGAAGTAATCAGCAGCAGACCTTCTTTGAAAATTGGCACATCTATCTGAATGCAACCCGCGGCATCTTTAGGAAAGATGAGCATCCCAACACTTGAATTTTGCACCATCTCATGCACTTTGCTTTTATCTTGGTTGGAGGCCATCGCTAGTAGGTGGGAGGCTAAACTTTCTTCCTTACTTTCCCATTACTAGGAACAAGGACGCTACTAGTGGCTCCTGGCCTTACTCCTAGCAGCAAAGGACGCTACTAGGAACAAGAAGAACACCTCTGGGCCGCCCCCACGAGCACCGAGGTGGTGTACGCCGCCACATCGGGCGCGTTGCCCAGGACCCGCAAGGCGAAAGGCCAGCTGGTGGCCTTCGAAAACAGGTCAAAACGGAAGGGACCTAAGGAAAACCAAGGGAAACCAAAGAGGTGCAGTTTCGAGGTGTTCTTTTTAACTAGAAAGGAAGGAAAGAAGGAAGGTCAAAAATAGAAGGCCCTAAAATAGCATTCCATGGACGTCCGAGACCTTTTGGCCTTCTGATAGGCCGCCACCCCGATAGGGAACCCGCCCCGGCACGCTGCAAGGCAGCTTCTCCCTTTCAGAAGGCTTAAACCTCACCCTCTAGACTTGTGTGGGCGCACTTTTGACCTTCAGTGCGGCCGCCTTTGTTCCAGCCTCGATTCTTGGAGTGGTTCCTGCAAAAGGCTGTCTCCTTGTCACGTGTATGTAACACCGCATGGAGACAGTCTTGAGCCTTCCCCACCTTCGTCTTGGGCACCGTTCTGCCAACTACCATCATAAGCAAGACTGGCAAGGGACAGTTAAACAAATACTTTCTTGATGGTTGTAGCGTTCAGCAAGAAAGGACAATAGGCTTGGCAAGAGGTAGCTTCTAGCTGGCATTGTTGATTGTTGGGAAGTTTTGCCCGGATTTACCTCATGACTACATGCGTCCAAAAGGGTTCCCTTTGATGGTGGATGAAAACACTGCTCGGATTACAATCATCTTTTGGCTGCCCTCGTGTTTGCTGTCTTGTGCGCTGGAAACTTAAACCATTAGAAGAGCTTAAACCGCTGAACCCATCGTACCTTCCAATGGCCCCGGACCGAATGACCCCAGACCGAGGTCACGGATTCACGAGTCAGGCCTTGGCAGCCCCAGAGAGTACGGCCGCAAACCTGCCGAGGTTCGGAGGCTGGAGGCACGGTCAGGTTTTGTTGGTCCGGTTTTGCGTGAAGAGGTTCCAAAAGGCTTTGCAAAGGGTTTTAGTGCCCTTGGTAGTGGCGTCTTGCTACTAGTAGCGATGCCAGGAGCTACTAATAGCTTCTTGCTCCCAGTAGCGATGCCCTTGTTACTAGTAGCGTCTTGCTACTAGGGTGACTCTTTTTGAAACTCCAAGTGCTGGGTGCCACACTGGAAGCGCCCACATTCCGCAGCCGCATCTTGAAGCGCTGAGAGCAGCTCCACCGCTGAGGGCCAATGACCTGGGAAGTCTTGACAAAGCAGGGAACCCCCAAACGGCCAAATGCATCCGGAACCTTACGGAGTCCAAAGAAGACAAAACGAAAACATCAAGTCGATTTATCAAGCAAAAAACTTTACTAGTAGTAACAGGTGCCTTACTAGTAGAAACAAGAAGCTAGTAGAAACAAGGGCATTACTACTAGTAACAAGAAGCTACTAGGAACAAGTGCATCGCTAGTAGTAACAAGTGCCTTACTAGTAGTAACAGGTGCCTTACTAGTAGTAACAGGTGCCTTACTAGTAGAAACAGGTGCCTTACTAGTAGTAACAGGTGCCTTACTAGTAGTAACATGGCCTCCAACCTAGAATCACCAGATTTGTTCGCTACTAGGGGCTCCTGGCCTCGCTACTAGGAGCGATCGGACGCTACTAGGGGCTCCTGGCATCGTCAACGCTTACTACTGATTTAATTTGATTCTAATTTTAATTGATCTTTAGAACTCGGAAACCCTTAGAGCATTGTTTCTAAGTATATATTGTTTCTACTAGCTTCTTGTTCCTAGTAGTAAGGCCCTTGTTCCTAGTAGCGATGTCCTTTGCTCCTAGTAGCGTCCTTGCTTTCTCTGGGTCTTCCCCACGTTGCCCCAAGGCTCGGAGCCGCTTCGCTGTCTCGAAGCTGTTGACCTCGCGCGACCGAGGCGGGACGATGCGAGTGGAGCCACGCGCGTGGAGGAATCGCTCTTGTCAAACTATTCATTTGGTTCCTAGTAGCTTCTTGCTATTACTAGCTACTTGCTCCTAGTAGTAAGGCCAGGAGCCCCTAGTAGCGTCCTTGCTCCCAGTAGCGATGCCAGGAGCCCTTAGTAGCTTCTTGTTACCGATTTGGGAGCGCTTCAGGGTGAGCACAGTGAGAGGGGATTGTGAGGCGAGTTAAACCTTGTCAAGCTGGTTGGAAGGTTCTGCCCAGGCGAGACTTGACTCCCAAAATCATCCAAAACGTTTCTCTAAACAGTAACAAGAAGCTACTAGGAGCTCCTGGCATCGCTGCTAGGAACAAGAAGCTACTAGGGGCTCCTGGCCTTACTACTAGGAGCAAGGACGCTTTTTGGAGCTCCCAAATCGGTACCACAAACGATTCCCGGACCCAATGGCCTCGCTTCCTCCCATCCCTTTGGCGCCTTCGTCTCGCCTGCAGCGTCCTCACGCAAACAAGATTTCCAACCTATTAGCGTCCGATCGCTCCTAGTAGTACGGCCAGGGGCCCCTAGTGGCATGAAGGCTCTTCGCAAAGTTCATCTTCAAACCAAATCAAACTCATTCAGCCGAGGTTTTTCTTGGCTTTGTGTAAGGGCCCAAAGTTTTGGCCAACAAATTCAAAGTATATGTTCAGATTCTCCGTTGCTCCCAAACTAAAGGAAAGGCGCCTTTTCTTTCAGTGACCATCAGCTCGTTGGAGCACGGTGTTGGTTTTCTCTGACGTAGAAGAACTCAGCCCATCGTCTCTTTGTACCCAAGACTCCCACAGTTTGAGATACCTGGATCAGCATAATAGCTGCTTTAGAGCTAAGCAAAACCATTAGAGCAACTACCCGTTTCCAAAGTCATCCAAACTTTCGATCGACACAAACACACAAACACTCATGTCCAGCATGCCATCGCCATGACGCCGAATATTGGAGGAACACAATCCCAGTTTTGTTGAAACTGAATTTCAATGAAATTGTCCAGTGGGAAAGTCTGCTTTGTGTCTTCTTCATGGATGCGATTGAGGGACTTCCTCAAGCTAACAAGGCACTCCGTTACTTCGTTTCGAAGTCATTTACTGCTCCCACATTTCTTTTGTGTAGCCATTTCCAATAAATGAACATGAATGGATGAGCCTTTGCAAGGCTGCAACATGCCGTGGAAGGTGGAACACAAACATGGACATGCTCTACCTCCTGGATGGCGTAAGAAACAGAGATGGCGTGACATGCATCAAAAACCGTTTCTGGTCCCAACAGTTCGACCTAAACGCCATTCCAACTAGCCCTTGCTGCCCCTTGCTGCTCTTCCGGTATTCAACCAGTTCTTCGTGCCCTTGGTGCCATGTTCGCTTTCAGTTTTGGATGCAGCGATCTCTTACAAAAAAACAAATCAAATGACCAAATTCGGTGTTTCTGTTACCCCTTCACTCCTTCGGCTGTTTGGACGCCTTCTGGACACAGTCTCCAAGCCGTAGGTAAGAATTGCAACCCACACAAACAGCATATAGCATGGGTACTTTTCAGCGTCTCTCGCCCAAAAGCTATATACGCCTTAAGAAACCGCTTTGGGTGCTTTTCCGTGTTCTTCAGCGTCTCCACTTTGGGAGATAGCACAGGCGCGATCCAAGCACGGCTCACTCGCCCCTCCAAAGTTTGTATCAAAAGTGGGTTTCTTGAGTAGTGTTTTTTCTCACGTGAGAAAAACAAGTTCAATACTCAGTTGAAATTTGTGATGTTAACATGGAATTGAACCAAATCCCTTTCGAATCGAAGAGATCAAACTGTATTGGTTTTCTAATATGATGCTGCATGAGGTTCGGCCTCCTGAGGGCTCGTGGTTCCCCCTGAAGTTGGGCCACGATTTTCCACAGTTTGTTGGGGTTCTCAATGCTTTTAAGTGTGTCTGCCTTCTGGC